AGATGATAAAAAACCGATTTCTACATAGATCAGAATGCTGTTTATTTAAAAGAAATGCATACTTTATGAACTTAAAGGATTGTAGTTCTAAAAATATACAATTTTTATCAAAATCCTGGATCATACCTCGAATAAATGACTTCAAAACATAAGAGCATTGCGCACATACATTTCAGGTTCCTTCATAAAAAGGGGGTGAGCGTTATACGGCGAATATACCTATTAATAAAAAATGCAGCTTGAAAGTATAAATGCACGTTATACACCGTATTTTACGGCACGTGCGTAGTTAATAATTATGAGTACTTGTCAGGACATGTAAACTTATCGTGCTTGCTTGATTGTTTATTAACGTAGAACGGGAATTTTTAACACTCATCTTGCAATTGAGGAACGAAGGTAAATCTTTTTTATAATGAATTGTAAATATATTACAGTCGATTACTTCAGGTATAGTTACAAAGAAACGTTTGACTAAACTCTTCAATGTGTTCATGTTCAGGGATCCCCAAAAATTGTCAAATGTGGATATCCATCAAGTTTTTCGAGGAATTAAGGTATCCGACTACGCTCGGAACCATGATTTTAAAAAAGCGCATAAATGGCTAATTCTCATGATGTTTAGTGTCACTTAGATTAGGACATTTGTATAAAATTGTTTTAAGGACATTGTGACAAAAAATATTTAAATATGCAATATTTTGGCAAAAAACTTAGAATAACATTTTTTAAAAACGTTCTCTTTTTATAAAAATTGCTGCTATAATAATAGTATTTTGCTTATATAAAGTAAAGATGTTATTTATTTCAGAGTTATTACCAATCGAATAATTATTGGCGTTTTTTTCTTAAAACTTCTTCGCTTTGTTGTACTAAAATATGGATATGGATAAATCCACTTCTGAGGTAAGTATTTCAAAAATCCTAGTCCAAGCTCTGAGCTATATACAGGCAAAATATTATTATTATAGAAGCGTTTTTCATAAAAGGAGAATGTTTTGAAAATTAGTCATTCTATGTTGATTTCTTGTCAAAATATTGTATTTAAAATTTTTTTTATAGTAATAATATTCTTAAAACAATTTTATACGCGTTTCTAATCTAAGTGACACTAAATATCATAAATATTACCCATTTATACGCTTTTGCAAAATCATGGTTAAGAACGTAGTCGGATACCTTAAGCAATGAACTGATACTAGAGCAATAAAAAGTGCCAAGAAATTTCCAATATAAAAATTACAAATTATTGCAAATATTATACACTGGTGTGCAAAAATTAAGGACGAAGTCGAAAAATTAGCATATCAGCTGAACGAAGAGGCAGAGCGGACAGAAAGACCAATCAGGAGATTAAGTAAGGTGATGTACGGTAGCACATGCGCAGATATGCAGGTAGACGTAATGGGGGAGTGTCTGAGTAGTATAAAGCATGTTGTCGATGTAAGATCAGTATTTCTGGCAAAGAGATTGCACGCCGTATAACAGTTAAAATCACACCGAGTTGCTGCCTCAGCGAGAAATGGCGAATAATCAATCTGTTAGACGACATCTGGATGCTTTTACCCGAAGTCGAATCATTGGGAAGTTGGAGGAAGGCCACAGTGTGACAAGTGTGGCTGCAGAGTTCGGAATTGCTCATAGCATCGTTTCACGACTTTGGAGACAATTTCAAACTACAGGAACAGCTATCCGGGGGTTCAGTAGTGGTCGTCCACGAGGAACCACACCCGCAGATGACCGGTACATTGTCTTACAGGCCAGAAGAAACAGACAGCGGGAAAAAATCGCTAGACACACGACACAGGCGACTGGACGACCGATATCGCGTTTTACCGCATGGTGGTGGTCTGTTTGCACGATGCCCTGTACGATGTGTACCTTTAACGCCTGTCCATCGGAGAAGGCGTTCTCTGTGGTGCCGGGAACACCGGAATTGAGACAATGAATGGGGACGAGTACTTTCTTTACAGATGAGAGCAGATTCAGTTTGAGTAGCGATTCTCATCGCATACTCATCTGGAGAGAGAGCGGGGAAGCCGCAATCATCCCTCGAACATCATTGAAAGGGACAGGTATGGAGGTCGCGGTGTTCTCGTTTGGGGAGGCATCATGCTTGGTATCGTACAGACCTTCACATCTTCGACGCAGGTTCAGTCAACGGGACCCGTTATTATAACGAGATTCTTCTTCCATATGTGCGTCTTTTTAGAGGCGCTATGGATCTGCAGTTCCTTTTCATGGACGACAATGCACCATGTCATCGCACAGTAGCTGCCGAACAGCTCTTAGAGAGTGAGGATATTGAACGTATGGATTGGCCGGCACGATCTCCGGATCTCAATCCCATCGAGCATGTATGGGATTTTCTAGACAGATGCTTGGCAGCTCGTATCTTACCACCAGTAACGATTCGGGAGCTTCGATTGGTGCTGCAAGACGAATGGGCAGCAATGCCTCAACAACTCATTGACACCCTTATTCTCAGCATGGGCAGACGCTGTGAAACCTGCCTAGCAATCAGGGGAGATCATACCCCCTACTAAAGACCGGATGTTTCTTGCTGGACACCCATCACAGGGATGTTTCGGCCTTCAGTCGCATTGCGCTCCATGCTACTGTTTCAATGAAGCTAATTTTTATCCCTCTGATTTCTCTTTTAGTAAGTGTTGCTTACATTACACATGTCCTTACGTATTGGGGATCTTACGGTATTAAATGTGTTGATTTGGAAAGCTTTTGTACATAGTTATATTGAAAAAACCGTCTCGTCCTTAATTTTTGCACACCAGTGTAGGTCTACTGGATATCATGGAACAATCGGAAGAAAAAAATCCGGCTGCTAGTAGAGACAGTCTTCTAAAATGCCGATTATTTTTCATGTGTTACAAAGATTATCATATAGAACTTTGGAGAAATTTATTTACATATCAATCAAGATTTGAGCAATTCAAATTAAAAACACACACCCAAAGGAAGAATGTAATATCTACTGTAATTTATGATGAAGAATTCCAAATATTTTATGGGTATATATTGGCCTTTGTTGTAGGTGAATTGGCTTTTGTGAACTTTAAAATGGATCAATCTGTCAAGCAGAATATTTTGAAAGCAAATGTTATGAACAGCATGATGAGAATGTGTCTTAAAAATCTTCTTTTCGACAAGATAACGACCCGAAGCATTCGTCAGCTGAAAATGTAAACTTCATATAAGGGAGTGTTTTGAAGTTAAATGAAAATATTACAGAAATCCATTGAGGCAAAGGAGAAAATGATGGGGAAAAGGATAATGTTGCCAAATGAAATATTAATAATGGAAATTTAAGTTTCTGTAGTTTATCAAAATTATCCCTTATGTACGATTTTAAAATGCAAAGTACGATGATTCTGGCCTCCTAATTGTTTGATATACATACATTTATATGCATTTGTAATGCTGTTCACAGTCAGCAATGTTTACAATACTGCCAGCATCCATCTCTTTATTGTATCCAAAATATCAGTCATCTATTTGAATATTTAATATTTAAATAATTTCCTTCTCAAGCAAGTTATAAAATCTGATAATTATGCATATATATATATATATATATATATAATTACGTTTTACAATAGGAAATTAAACATTTTCCATACTTAATAAATAAACATGTCATTAAATTTTGAAATGTGAAAATGTAGATTCCCTTTTGACTATTTTATGCATCATTTTCCTTACAAGAATAGCCTCTATTCCAGAATATATTAGGTTTTGGCGATGCAAACATGATCTAAACACATTCTTTTAAAATAATTCTGTAAATATTGGAAATGAAATATCTCTTAAAGAATTAAACTAAATAAGAAGAATCTTTTTGTAACAAAATTAATGAGTTGCCACCCATTCCCCATTCTAAAAGCACATATAAATGTTCATGTTTTCGAAATTATGAAGTCCAAAAAAGGGTGCGAAACTACAAAAGACTGTAAATATTATTTTTAAGAAAAGGCTTATGGTTTTTAGAGAAGCGAATTTGTGATTCAGACTCTTGCAGCATAGTTACTTAAAATGCATTAAAATTAGCTTTAAGAATAAATGTGCAAGAAAATAATGTTATAAAATAATTATGCTACTCTAATTTTGTGATCTCTGTTATGAGATGTTTAGTGGTGTAAAATGTCAATTTTACAATAAGAATTTTAGACTTAGGGAATTTTCGTGATGTGAATGTAGTATTTTTAAAATAATAATTCTAAAAGATTTAGCGTCAAACTAAGATTTTTAATATTAACATTCCCATCTAAAAGTTTCTTCTACTATCTTCGTAGGATGCTTAATTAATTAAAATGAAACACAACATATGCAACAATAACGCTCAATGTTGCTTCGTATGCTTTCCTTTACAATTTCTTTAAGTAAAAACAAGAATAAGTATAACAATGGGTTAGTTGTAGAGATATCACACATAATGTGATATGAAACATTTGAAATAAAAATACGCATTTATAAAAGTACAAATGCTATAATAAAGTTATTACAGAAACAAATGTACAGAAAGCATGCTGTAAAAATTTTAGATAAAATGAGGAAAAAATAGATTTTTATTATTAACTTTTTAAATGTTTCAATTTCTTTTGGATCTTGTACACCTTTTATTCCTATTATGTAACAAATTTATGTAGATCTTATTTAGAAAACATCTCTAGAAACTTGTTATAAAAGCAAGTAATATTAAAACATTTTTTAAGTCGATTACTACTGAGGCCAACAAAGAAAAAATTTGTTTTAGTTACTTTTTATTAAATAATTACAATTAATATAAATATGTATATAAGCATGACAGAATCACAATGTTGTGACAAAATAGAGAGCGATTTGTTTTGCAATTTACCATTTTCTTTCCTATATAGGGTGTTGGACTATTTTTGTTTTGTGTTATACTGTTTATTCATTAATTAAGTTTAATTATTATAATAAAATCATATAGTAAAAAGAAATCAAATTCTCAGAAATTAGGCCATCCAAGGTGGGTTTCAAACCCATAACCTTTGGATTAGAAGTCCAACGTGCTATCCATTGCGCTACTAGGACACAACCAGCGATTTTCCTTTTTATATATGGTGTTGGACTATTATTTTTGCTTTTTTATTCATTAATTAAATAATTAATTAATATTTGAAAAAACTGTATTAACACATCAAGTGTCATCCACTACAAGTTTAAAAAAATGTATTTAAACTTGAGTGAAGGAATAGAAAGTATTTTACAAACGATTGAAAATTTCATCAAGATATATATATATATATATATATATATATATATATAGTCTTATTCTCTACAAACAAGAGATAAACACATCCAGTAATCACATTCGAAATCACACTCCCTATATATATATATATTTAGGGAGAGAGGGAACTAGTAGTAGGAATTGAATAAAGCTTGAATATATTATTTTAGCCTTTTAATATTATACTCCTTACTTTCATATTACATTGTTAAGAAAGTAACATAAAAGCGTGATTAAACTAATTGCAAATACATGTGTGTGTTTTGCTTTAAAATATTCAATTAAATTAATTTCAACACATACTATGTTGTGAGCTACCGTTTGTGATAGCAGGAAAGTTAACCGAAGGAAGAGATATCTCTCAACTTCAACAAACTTTTTATTCTTATCACTTCCAATTGTAATCAATTTTTGTGATATACAATGGGAGCGCGAGTCAGCCTTAGTTTATAATAACAGTTATTAATAAAGATACTTATCGACTAATGCAGACTCAGTCTCGAACAAGACTCCTAATCTTGTTATTTATGTACGAAAAAGATTCAAATATAAAATCACACAGATATAACTTAAACTAGCATTAACACAAATCTGACTGCTATCTTCTTCCTTAAGCTCTGTTCACATAACTTGAAACAGTAGTTCTACTTTGAAAGTGTCTTGTTCTTTTACAGAAAGAGGTCTTCAAATCAAACGATTTGTTAAAAGTATTTCCCCTTGAGGATTGGTGGAAGGGCGTGAAGAGAAACCATTACAGCTATACATGAGAATTATAACTTCAGTTTCCAAAAATAGTTGCTTGAAAAAACAACAAGAATAATTGAAGCGGATTTTCTCTGCTAGATTTTTTCCCTTAAAATAAGTGGGGACTCAAAAGTTTCAATGATTTCTTCATCAATTATGCTCCAGCAATGAAATTAAATTACTCAAAATGTTGGTTAATGTTAATAGCAATGTTGAATAGCAGAATTATTGGCGGAAATAATTTGTAGGTATTAGTCACATAAATTTAAATTTAAGGTATCCAACTACGTTCGGAACCGTGATTTTGCAAATACGTACAAACGAAGATTTTTTTAATATTTAGGGTCACTTAGATTACAATACACGTATGAAATTGTTTGAAGAATGTTATTACAATTAAAAATGATTTAAATGCAATATTTTGGAAAGAAATAAACATATAATTTTTTATTTTCTAAATATTCTTCTTTTATAGAAAAAGCTTCTGTAATAATATTTTACCTCTATATAGCTCAAACCTCTGTACAGAGAATGTACTAGGATTTTTGAAATATGTAATTTAGAAGTGGATTTATCCATGTTTTAATACATCAGAGTGAAGAAATTTTAACAGAAAAATACTGATAATTATTTTAATTGGTAGTAACTATGAAAATAAAGTGAATTTTCATAGTTACTACAAAAGTCGTAGTTCAGGCCTTCTAGAGGAGTCTTAGCTATATATAAGCAGAATATTATTATTATAGAAACATTTTTCATGAAAGGAGAACGTTTTGAAAAGAGATTATTATAAGTTCATTTTTTGCCAAAATATTGGATTTAGATAATTTTTTTTATTGTAATAATATTCTTAAAACACTATTTTATAAGTGTATTCTAATCTAAGTGACATTAAATATAAAAACAAATATTCGTTTGATCGCTTTTGCAAAATCACGATTCCTTAGGAATAAAAATTTATCACACCTTATTTAGTTTGTCGATACAAGACAAAACATATATGGAAACCAGATTTTTCTCGCAATTGCTTTACTTGTAAAAAAAAGAATTGATATGATTATAAATTCAAGCCGAACGAGAAGTTAAACTGTTATTTTATAAATAAAGAATGCATCACTCTGAATTTTGATTTAAAATTTTTATAGCACTATACAAAAACGTATAAAATTTTGTATTAGGTTATCTGTTCTTTATTACTCTAGAGGTAGAATTATAAATGATTTTACTTTTTTGTAAAGAATTGAACTGGCACTTTTAAAAATCAGGTAAAAGAGAGAATCCACATATTAGATTAAAAAAAAACACATTTATAATAGGAGGAAGAAAAAGAAGTTTTTTAAATTTTTAATTTTTGTAATTTTATCTTTTTACATTTGCCTTAGTTTAGCAAAAATAATAATTTCTGAAATTGGGATATATTTAAAAAAAAATCAACGTTTGTCAATAACGCATTTCTGTTGTATTGAAGGTATAATATAGTAACATATACATATTACAGGACTTTAAAATAATTTTGAACGTTAATAAAATGATTTCGAAGGGTGTTTACTTTTAAAATATACATGCGATAATTCTAAGAATTAAAAAATGAGAAACACTTTTTAATAACAAAGTTTTTTCATATTATTAAAATATTTACGCGTGTTCGAGTAATTCTATATTTTAGCGTCTAGTAGGTGAGAGAAAAACCGATACATATATATATGTTCTGTGTGTGTGTTAAATATAAAGCAGAAAAAGAAAAATAGATCAATGCTTTCGATATTTCATCTACGCTTTTCTGACTTAGTTTATGCTTGAAAGGTTTATGTCAATAATGGAAAAATTGATGAGACAGGAGGAAAACATCACATTTGAAAAATAGTCTGAAAAGGCCATTCTAACTGTTTTTCGAATATACCAATACAACAGCATTGCGAATCTACACGGTAGGATATCCGTGTTTGGCTCTTGCTACATGAAACGTCTATTTAGGTCAGGGTTCTCTTTTTATCGTTTGCGTTGCATTGCTCCAAAACAAATATTCCGGAATATTAAAAGATTCAATTCATTTGCCTCCTACAACTTCGAAGCCTTTTAACCTTGAATTCGATGGGGGGAGATTTCGTACAATATGGCTCCATCTACCTGTCTTTACTGGAGTTAGTGTACAGAAAAGGGATTAATGCTTCCGTGGATTTGTGAGACTTTTATTGTTTACTAGATGTACAATTTACGCAATTTATTAATTTTTCAAGTGTTTTAGTTACAATAAAAAAGGGGGTTATTTCCCATTGTTAGTTGATCTCGAGTTCTTTAAATGATAAGAAAACAATGAATTCTTTTAAATTTGTTTTAAAGTACTTAATTTATTGCCTTTGAAGAGGAAATGTTTACAGGAAGGTAAATTTCTTAATGATTTTCTTTTCTAGACCAACTCAACTTCAGTAATGGGTATTATGTGATAAAGCTTTTGCTTGAGTCACTTTGCAGTCGTATTTTGCTGACACACACACACACTGTGTAGAATAGTTTGGTTGTGTGAGGAGTGACAAGGCTTAGTTTCAGTAATTGCGCTATATGTTGAGAGATACAGTGAAGTGAATTTTATATAAGTAATGAGATTATCAACAAAACACACACACTCTCTCTCACATGCCCATTTAGATGTTATAAATCATATATATATAAATCATATATATTCATGATCTTCCTTTAATAAACTATCAATTTTTATAGTCATTTTATTATTATTGGATTGAATGAGCATTCCTGTCTATTTATTTGAATTTAATGATGCAATTCAGCTTTTGTGTTTGATTCATAGAATTTTGCTATACGTTCATCACTCACAACAGCATGCATCACAATAGATAAAAAATAAATCACAAATAGTGAAACCAGTAAGGTATTTGATGGATGTATTTAAAACTACTGTATTTCTTCCTTTCTTTCTCATATTTAACGAAAAATGTCGTGAAAAGAAAAACGACGAAAATGAAATATGTCAAACTATTTTTATTATTTCATTATTAAATAATTTGTCTCGAGTAAATGTTTAATTTATATTGCCTTCTTATGGACACTCCTATCTTTCTCATATAATTTCAAGATGACAAATCTTTCTATCATTTTGGCCTTTTTAAGAAAAATCAGAAAAACCAAACAGAATAAGCTAGTATCTGATTTCTTATAAATAAAAAATAGTATTTTGCACAAAAAAAAAAGAAGAAAACGATATGCCATTGGAAAAAATATGACCACTTTTATTGAAATTAATTATGTTAGACTTCCGCACAGATAATGAAATGATTAAAAATTCAAAGTCTAGGACTTGTCTATGGTTAGCAGTTCCTGTTCAATGATTGTTAAAATCAGTAATTGTTGAAACTCCCACTTCATTCGGTGGTTGATTGATTGATTGAATATTAACGTCTCACTGTTCAGCTGCACGAGGGCTTTTGGCGACGGACCGCGTAATTTTGAACCATGGTCAAGTGACGTGGACGACACCTGAGCTGGCACCCCCCTCTCCTAACTACCACACCACACACTTCATTCGGTGGAAATGCATGTTTGTATACGTGGATGCAAAGAATACTAAAGATTTCTAACCTAATCTGGCTATACATAATTTACCATATATTTACCAACTGTTACTACAGATTTGAGACATTTTGGAGTGATCGAATCGACTGGTCTGCTATGTTCCATACACTCTTCGTTGACGAAAGATCTCATAAACTTGATGGCTAAGGAAGAGTAAAAGTAGCAATGAGTAGCAGTCCTGAGTTATATGAGTTGTATGGCGCCAGGTATTATCTTGTTGGAAAAAGGTTCTAGGGTGATGTTCCACGAAAAATAATGCAACTGGACATAATATATCATCAACACATTGCTGAGCTGTTAAAGTTGTTAATGGGGACCTTTTGTCTAAGTGATATATGACGTATTGTCACTTGGATCCTATAATCTTACACACACGGATGCGATGGTCGTCTGTTCCAAGACACGCGGATTTATTGTTGAACATTGCACAATACCAGTCTACTGGTAGCCCTGATGATGGGCTACATCA